CTAAATTTGTTCCTTTCTCTCCTTTATCCAAACGTGAAATAATTATCTGCTTATCTTTAATCGATAGAACGGCTCGCTTTCGCTTCGTAGACATGTTTTCGATTTGAGTTTACGATCGATCGCTCGTGTGTTTACATAATTATAACCCACGCGGAAGGAACTAATCAAGCATGAAATTCCCTTGGTAACAAAACATTGAGCCAATCAGATTTCAGCTGAACGCATCAGAAGATTTCTTTGTCTCGTCGCACTTGCGAATTTTGAAAAGCGCACAGGATAATATGCTGCTTCAACAGTCTTTTGAAAGGATTATTTGGCTTTTTGCGACTTTGAGTTTTCAAGATCACAACTAATTAACATTCATGAAAACATTGGGACCATAGAAAAAAGTCCGGATAATCGAATAGTCCGGATAATCGAGGTTCGACTGTATGTATGTATGTGCAGGGAATGTTAAACTTCACAATGTACCGACCTAATATATGTGCTAAGCCGGTAACGTCAGACGAGAAAGTGGTATTCAGTTTTAGAGGCTTCTCATTAATCAAGCCTCTTCGGACTTTGAGAGCAGAACTTTCGAATTTCGATTAGTTGCGTGGCCGATTTGCAATTTTCTCCATAACAACACCATAGCTGACTATGCATTTGCTCACCTTGCAAAGTTGTTGCCAAATATTCCTTAGCACAGTCACTGAAGGAGATGTGAAAGCGTCTGGAAGGGTTTCGCTTCTCAAGTAAAATAAATGTACCTTGTACTCTAGAGACAATTAGAGTCCCTCAGGTGTGCATATCACGTTTATCACCCAAGTTGCGCAGTTCAAATAGTCTTAATTGCATACAATGGAAAGCCAATTCTATCACATGACCAGAAGGCAGAGATCCCATGAGATAGCACGGCGCTTGCGCAAGTCATTGCACAATTTGCGCTCATCGCGGTAAGTCACACCATTTCTTGGAGCTTGGTTTTTCTAAGCTAAAAACCTATTGACACGAATTGCTGGCGAGGTTAACGTAGTTAGCTTCAAATCTTAGGCCAGCTAAGGCCCTAACGTAGTTGGGTGCCAATAATTCAGTGGGATTATGCCCGGTCCCAACTCAGAAGACAACACAACTGACGAGCGCGGCCCTGAAACGTCAACGCGAACGGACATTGGCGGTCAGAATATGCCTTCANCATCAGAATATTTCTTTGTCTCATCGCACTTGCGAATTTTGAAAAGTGCACAGGATAATATGCTGCTTCAACAGTCTTTTGAAAGGATTATTTGGCTTTTTGCGACTTTGAGTTTTCAAGATCACAACTAATTAATATTCATGAAAAAATTGGGACCATAGAAAAAAGTCCGGATAATCGAATAGTCCGGATAATCGAGGTCCGGATAATCGAGGTTCGACTGTACTAGAAATTGAAAATTGTGAAAGCTCTAAGTGCTGTTGTGAGTTGTATCTTTCCTAACAGTTTATTTTTCTTCTCAGTTCTATTCTGATGCAGAGAGCAGTTTTGCTCAGGTGTTAAAACTGGATAAACATTGTGATGATGCTATGTTTGAACTGGCAAGAGTTAGAGTACAGCAGTTAGAGGTATGCTCCTGTTTAGCATCAGTTACTGTCATTTCAACAAAGCTTGGCCTGATTTTTTCTGCAAGGAAATTTTACCAGAAATTTAATATAAAAGTTCTAAATATACTGCCAAAAATCTCTAAATGTCCCAATTTTTTTTCTTAATACATGGAACCCTGTTAATACTGTACGGTCACCAATGGACCAGCAAAATTTGGCGGTATTAACCAGGTGGCCGTGTTAGTGAGGTTGGGTGAAACTTCATGAATTTTCTAAATTGAGTGTTATCTTCACAGATATACAGCAATAATAATTGCTCTTCTAAAACAACTGTTCTTTATTTAATAAGCATCCAAAAATATGCAGCGATAATTTCCAAAAATTGAAGCTTGAATCTCTGTAAAATATTAACAATGGAAAAATGAATATACATGTAGCTGGTTTGAGTGACCATATAAATGCGGTAAAATTATAATTAAAAGGAGTATACAGGTTGGGAAGTCAGAATGTGGCCAGTGGCCGTATTAACAGTGTTTTCTTTTAAAAAAATGTATGGGCATTTCGCTGGGACAAAAAAGTGACCGTAATCACAAGGTGGCTGTAAGGCGGGTTCCACTGTATACCGGATTTGTGTCTGAGTATCTTGTCATCGCAATTTGAATATTATTAAATACTAATTTGACTCATTTAAACATGCATTGTTTTTAGACAAAAATAGGTGGTTTTGTTATTGTGGTTTAAGTTGTTTCAGTGTCGTGGTATTGTTTAGTTAATGTATTCTTGGTCAAAACTCCACGCTTACACTCAGAATCCATATCATGCAACTTGTACATCTCACAATGTGAACTTTACCACCCACTCATTCTGCTATATGATACTCACATAGGATGCGTCATTCAGTCGGAAACTACTTTACTAATATATTGCTTTCAATATGATATTGGTACTGAATTGAGCAAAGCAGCTCCAATCGCAAAGAAACTGCTCAAATAAGTCATTAAACAAAGTTCTATGTATTCCTAAAATGTCACTTTCTTGGAAAAAAATCTATCTACTTTAGTTAACATCCAGGAAGTTTCTAATATATCCAAAAGTTTTATATCTAAAGCCTATCGATCCATATGCCATGACATCGAGTCTGCTATCTTTCTAGTCAGCCTTCCCACCCAGTCAGTGTTAGAATACGCCATTAGTGAATGTTTTAAATAGCATTTGTTTTTATTATAATTATAATTTTGAATACTTTTTATATATACTATAGTTTCTATGTCAAAACACATTAATTTTTTGGGATAAAACCAGAGATAAAAACAAGTGAATGTTTTGATCTCTTTGAGATCATTTTTAAGTCTTAAAAAGTGACTACAATTTTTTGCATATATGAGCAAAATTAAGACAAGAATTTGAAAATCAATGAGCATAGTTTTAACGCTTTTTCAGTTCTCATGTCTTAATTTTCCTCACATATATGTGTAAAAATTTAATCACTTTAATTTCTGAACTTGAAAATGATGTCAGAGAGATCAAAACATCATTTTTTATCTCTAGTTTTTAACCTAAATGTATATATTGATGATTTTATCAGGAAATGGGATTCCCTCAAAGTCAAAGTGAGGTAGCCATTCAGGCATTTGGTACAGTTCAGGCAGCATTAGAGGCATTGTTGGCTGGAAAAGGTGAGTGAAAAAAGTGTTAAAACTGACAACAATGAAAACTGAATTGTGTAAATAAAAGCCTTTACAAGCTCCACAACAGCTTTACACATACACGTATGTAGTACATTTTCGCTAATATATAGGCTACATTAACATTCAATTTTACTCTAAATAAATCGGCACATATTTTAATTGTGCCATGTTGCTGTACTTTCCACTGGTGAACTTTCTTGTCGCATGCCAAACGGTGAACTACCTTTGTAAGTGCATGTACTGTAAGTTTACTATAGCAGCTCTCTGAGTCCGGTTGTTAAATTGTGTTGGGTCCTTAGTGAACTGTCCTGTATCAACCGAGATATACATGTCTGATGGAGAGGATGATCCACAAAAACAGCAGCATATAAGGTAATGGTATGTTGGTGCCATCAGTGTAAAACGCAGACTGCAGACTACGGACTATGGACTGCAGACAGGTGGTAAAATGCAGACTGGATAAAATGCAGACTGCAGGCTAAGGACTTTTAAAGTATGTGCTATTTCCATTAATTATTGAGTGCTAACCTTAAACAGTGTTATTTGGGCTAATTGCAATGAAAGTCTGCACTCTGGTTAGCCTGGATATCAATCTGGTTAGCCTAAATATCATGTAGGTTAGCCTTAATAATGTTCCAGTTAGCCTGTTTACAGTTACTTTCAGTGATGGAAATGATAACACGATTTAGTTAAAAAGTCTACAGTCTGCATTTTACCCTCAGTCTTCATTTTACCCCTGGTACGCAGTCTGCGTTTTGCACTGACCCCATGTCAGTGTGATTAACTGACATATTGTTCAAGAGTCTTGTACAAAGGTAGCTGAACTTAGCATGTATTGATGTACAGAGGCTCAAAGCTGCGATTTATAGCAAAAAATAGTGTGATTTACACAAAAAACTTGCACTGCTGAGAGCCACTCAGATAGCAAGGATCACCATTGACTTCGAAATAGATGTAAGAAACAAATTATCAACACTTCAGTTATTAACATATTTTGAATATCAATGCAAACATAACGAAAAAAAAAAATAATAATAATAAGGCTATTACCACCAGTAAGACTGTGTCATGTTTCTTAGTTCTTAAATTCCTTCTCTGTTATTTACTCTTTAAAGCTAGCCTGTTTGACTGGAGTTACCATTGTGTGATTTCTTTTCACTCAGAGCTGTTGAAAATAGCAGCAATGTAGATGGTCCTTGTCGTTCACTATGGGTTGGCAACATCAATCCTGAAGAAGTCAGTGAGAGGCATTTGTTACAGCTGTTCAGTCGTTGTGGCCGGGTGGACAATGTTCGAATTCTCCCAAAAAGATTCTGTGCTTTTGTGAACTACGACAAGGCTGAGTCAGCAACATTGGCACTTGAAAAATTACAGGTGAGCAAATGTTTAGCCTTGCTTGCTCAAGATCAGTAACCCTATGTAGTGCCTGAAATAGATTGTGTAGGATCTAAGGAAATCAGAGTGCCCACTCAGTGCACACTCGCAGTCTGAAGCATGAGGCCACTTGATTGATTTTCAATGCTTTTCGTATCTGAGTGAATTGACCTTTTTACCAATAATAATAATAATAATAATAAT